GCTGGGATTCGAACCTGGTTGACCTCATTGGAAAACCAGCGCTCTATCCCCTAAGCCATCACGCCTCGGTAACCGTAATTTTGAAAATATGGTTCAGAGAGCTGTCGAAAGTTTGAGCCCTTTAATGTTATTATTTTTTTTTTTATTGAAATTACATACATTTGTTGACTTGTGTGCTCAATATAGGCTTATAAGCCATTGTCAAGTAGAAAATACAGATAGAACAATTCAGAGAAAGACATCACAAAGAATACATCCAGGGTTACGGCGGGATTCGAACCCGCTACCTCCACGCTTAACAGAGCGTTTGGACCGGCGATACCGCTCGGCCAGGGAGGCCCCCTTTAATGTTATCTGTAATTTTCGTGTAATTCGCCATATCTCAAGAATTGTTTAAGCGAACTGAAAAATTTTTGCGCGCGTTGTTAAAAAATTCGTTTACCCTAAGATAATTCCATGCAAAAAGTAATTTTTTTTTAATTTTGTGTTATTTGTTTACTAATAGTAGAAAAAAATTTGAATTATAAAGTATGCAAATATTTGCGTCATTTTAAGGAATGTAATTTTTTAAAGCAAAATACGAAATTGGTCGAATATAGATAGAATAGTTCTTACGACTTCTAGAATAATTGATAGAATAGTTCCTACGACTTCTAGAATAATTGATAGAATAGTTCCTACGACTTCTATCTATTTTCTCATGCGAAATTACATCTTTTAAAATTATGTAAAAAATTTTAGACCTCATATTTAGAAATTTTTTGGAGTATTATCAAATAAAATAATGGAAAATAATTATTAAATATTATCTTTTTGATGGGATTATCTTACGGTAAACGAATTTTATATTTGCATGCAAAAATTTTTCCATTTACTTAAGAAAATCTCGAGGTATGGTGAAATATGCAGAAAGACTAAATAACATTAAGGGGTCCAAATTTTCTATCGTTCTCCTAATCAAATTATTGGGACCATATTTTCCAGGTTGCAACAACCATCTATACCTTGAGAGCCAGAATTCCAAATCCGTAAAAAATAATTAATAATTAAATAAAAAGCATGTTTATTCATAGAAAAGTTGTTTTTGTGTCTGATTTCGTAACTTAAAATATCGTTTGCACTAATTAATTAGCATATTTGAAGTCCCCCCCCTTAAACCATTAAGTTTGAGTTCTAGTACTTATAAATCCGATCATTAGATTAAAAGTTATTCAGAGTGCTTCGTTTTCTTTTTCACTCACTGTACAATTTAAACTGCAAGATAAAAAGAAAATATAAAAACATTGATAAGAATAATAAATAAAATTCTTAATACAAGTTTTAAAACAAATAAACAGATATATGTATGGCCATTAGCTAAAACTTCCTGGATTTATTTTATTACTTTCTGAATCAATTTAAATTGCTAGATTTTTTTTTAAAAAAAGAAAAAGTTATATGCCATTGAAACATAGAATCATTTAATAAGGAACCATAAGAAATTATTTTATTGTTAAAATGTTTTAATACATTGTAAATTTTTAATGAAGGTCTACAATGGGGTAAGATATAGTTCAAATCTGTTCATTATGAACTATCACGTGCAGAACATTGCCTTGTGTCTCACACGTGACAAACTAATGGCAAATTTAAAAAATAATTGCAATGTTACAATGTTTTTTAACATCACAAGAATTGCTACAAAGCATTTGAAAAGTTTGTGTTTAATGAAAGATACGATAAATATTTTTTTAAATACATTCATGTAATTTCAGCTCCGTTCAGCACGGGATGTTATAAATTATCTATTTTTAGACTTTCAAGAAAAAACATTAATCTTATAAATTAAAGAATCATGCTCTGAAAATTACTTGAAATTTCTATATTTTAAAAATTAAAACGCATTTAATAACGAAAGTGCACTAAACAATGTATGTCCCACACGTGACCATGGAATGACACTTTATCGAAAGGTCAAGATAACTCGAGTTTGTATGCGTTTTACTTCAAAATAGTTTTTTTCTTTTCAAAATAGTTTTTTTTTCTTAAGTAACATTTGAACTCGATGTTTTTTCTAAGGTAACAGTGAACCTTTAAAATCTCGAAATTGAACTTTATATTAATATTTTATTGGCTGCTATATACTTAAGTTTTTTTTTCCAGTCAATTATATATTACATGATAAGTTTCATAAAATCATTTCAGTCAATTATACAATACATGCAATTAATTCAATACATGTAATTAATACAATTATTTTATTACAGGTAATTAGTCCCTTGCACAACAATTTTTTTTTACATTAAATAACTTTAATTTTTAATATTTTGTATTGTTTTCCTAAAGCAATTGCCTGATTTTTCCCAGCTCTTCCTCTTAATTTTTATAAAATACTAGTAGTATAAAATATTTTAAAACAGAGCGATTTTTCATATGCCACGAACTTTGACTAACAGTGCGTACAACAATGCTTTTTCTAGAAGCGATTATGATTAAATGTCAGCGCAATCTCTCCTATTAAAATGGGAGTGGGAGAGATGGCTAGTTAGGAAAAAGGGAGCATAGTTCCTGCGTTAGGAGAAATTGCATGTTCCAAAGAAAAAAAAAGAAAAAAACCCGCCTTTTCATTTGAATAAAAGTTTATTTTTATGATTCTCTAATTTTTCGTTTCATAATATTTTCTTTAATAATGAAGTTGAAATATTCACTTATAATATTTGTTTACAAAAACTTAACAACAATGTCATTTTAAATGTAATTATTATTACTTTAATTAAAATTTAACATTAACCCTTTAACGCAGATTTGACAAATGTGTCCTTTATATATTTTTTTGACGCTCTAATTACAAGCAAAAATATATTTTGGTATTCTTTAATTATAAAAAAAAAGTCTAATAATTAATAAAAATAAGTCTGTTAGATAATCGGAATTATATTTGTACTAAAATATAAAATCCAAAATTAGTAGTCGGAAAAAAAAGTTTTTTTTTTTTTTTCATCATTCATATTTAAAAATTTGTCAGTAGGGGAGAGTCGGGTAGCCCCGCCCACTGTCAATTTCATATGTATAGAATATTTTTTCAAGTCAATGGGCCATCGGACATTAATTGTTATATTAAAAGAAGATTATTTTCAAAGTTTCAAGTATTTATGCAGCTGTTAACATGGTAAACAATAGTTTTGAAAATATTTTGAATACAGTAGTCATGAAATTAAGAAAAATTGGTTGAATGTTTCGATTAAACTTCATTTTAATACTAAAAAAATAATTTTTTCTATACATACAGCATTAAAGTATGTAGTCTTAAGTTTAATTTGCACAAAGAAAGAAGTTTATATGTGAAAAATTGTTCGAGTAATTACAAATTTACAAAAAAATTGGATTTCGGGTAGCCCCGCTCACATGAATGTCGGGTATCACCGCCCAATTTTATTTCGTCGATAAATGTACGGTTGCAAAGATTATTATTTTATTGCTTCAAATTTGAATGTTATATGCATTTTTAACAACAAATATTGTTGTTATTAAATGATAGAATTCACTAAAAGTATATAAATATGTAATAAATAAAATAATTTTGTGATAAAAATGATAAGCGTGGTTTACCTATTGTCAATACATTAATCATTTTCATTTACACCTGAAAAAAACAGTCAAAAAACATAATTTTCTTAACTGGGCGGTTAATCCGACACATTTTGAAAAGGGCTGAAAAACATGTTTTTTTAAATTTCTATTTTTTTAAGTTAAACTATTCTTTTTTTGGTTTATTCTTTTTGCATTATTTAACTAGATGATAAACAATAGAAACATGCAAAAATATTGATTATTACTCCATATTATGCAGAAATATAAGCAATACTCCTTAAGTGAGCGGGGCTACCCGACTCTCCCCTAATTGATTTTTTAAGTGAAAAAAATTTCAGTGATGAATAACTGTTTTTATTTGATCTAAATGACTGCAAATAAATACAAGTCTGAAAAATTGTATCTCGGAAGTGAGCTGTGTTTGGAAGATTTTACCTTTAAAGCAGACACCGGTGTTTTTTGTTGTATTTCACAACCATAAATTATTAAAATACTAAATATATTATTTTTATTATTTTGGCCTAAATTAATATAAAATAATGAAAAAAAGATGAAAAATATTTTCCTGCGTTAAAGGGTTTAGAACAATCTTTCCTTACTGCCAACCGAATCTTTACTGCCTCTGAAGGATAGATTGCTCGGAAAAGCTTTCTTGGTTTAGCACAACTGTTGCTCAAAATTCAAGCATAAAAACGACAAAATAATAAAAACAATGCAGTCAAAATTATTCATAATTATTATATTCATGATTATATTCATATGTTTCATAATTATTATATTCATATGTTTCATAATTATTATATTCATAATTATATTCATATCTTTCATAATTATTCATATTATTAGTATAACAAAAGTTAATATTTAGTATTTTTTTTAAAAATTATTTTGTTGAATTGTGCCCACTTTCTCTTAGCATTGTCTTATATTTAACAGATAATTTGAAATCCCGACAATGTGACAGTTATGACAATTTTTTGCATTTAAACGACAATACCGACGCAGCAACGACTAACGACTTAAACTTTTTTGCACTTAATGTCAAGAGACACCTTTTTGGACAAACACGGGTATGGATAGACTGAGGTAGGAATAGTGTAAATTTATAAGAATCTTTGTTTAAAAAGAAGATAACAATACCCACAACAAGGTACCCCCCCCCACCTCACCTATTACCTAATCGAAATGTTCATGGAGATTATCTCATTTATCTTTTTCTTATATTTAGTTGACAATTTTAAATTCCGATAATGCCACAGTTATGACAATATTTTGCACTTAATCGCAAAGATATCAAGAGACACTTTTTGATCAAAAAACGGGTATGCATAGAATGAGGTAGCAATAGTTTAAATTTATAAGACTCTTTGTTTAAATAGAAAATGAAAACACCCACAACATTGTCCTCAAAGGCACCCCCCACCTATTACCTAACCGAAATTCCTCGAGTTCAATTCTTCTAGAAAATCAGAGTCAGTCGCCAGTCTCGTTTATCTCAGCAAACTTGCTCACATTGCCTAAGAAAAAGAAGATGAGCAAAACACAAAAAAACCTTTATGTCAATACACCCATTCTCAAACCACCACCCTTGAACTCGACTTAAGAAAGCCGTTCAACAAGTTTCGGTTCATTCCAAAATGCTTTTAACATACGCCTAGGTATTCTTTATCACAACCATGATGGGTGGTTAAGAAACTTCTGAAATTTCTTTAGGTGCCCAAAATGTGAACATGAATACAGGAAATATAATCTTAAAAGCAAGATTTGAGTATATCGTGTTCTGATATGAAACTGAGAAAGTTCTGATCTCTAGACTAGGCATATCAAGATGGAAAGATATTTCAAGGTTAATGATTTTTAAATGACATAATACAAGACTTTAGAATCTGGTAGTTTTATTACTATGATTTTAGATTTCATGTGCAAGTATGTACCAGCAGTTATGCGATTTTGGTCAAGCAAGAAAATCAGAAAGGAATCATGTACTATGGTGAGCACAGTATCTATAAAAAATTTTTTTCAATTGAGTTTTATATAGCATTATATGTTGTTTTGTATGTAAAAGTTATAAAATTTAATATAGGATTAAAACCTTTGATTTGAATTTCTGGATAACTTCACTTGACTAAATTTCTTGTTCGAAGTAAGGAATATCTTATTAATTTCTTGCAATCTTAATATAGTGCTAAGTTGAACGTTGAATATATTATTTAACTGCATAAACATTATTACATAATACTATGGCTCAACTTTAACTGAAACATGGTTCATTTTAATATCTTATTAGAGCTACAACAAATTTTCACTGTATTACGCCGCATGGTACAGATTTTAAGATTAAAGTTTGAGCGATTTTTGGAGAGTGTAATTTATAATGTTCGTATAAACCTTAAAAATGGAATATATCATATTATATAACTTAAACACTATAATGTTTAATTTATGTAGTTATGATCTGTATTTAAAATGATATATTATTATATTCAGTATTCATATTGCTCAAATAAAGAAAAACGTGCATGTTTATCTTATTTTTGTTTTTCAAAACAATTTAGAATTGTTTTATAAATAATTACATTCTTCTTTATGTTTACGGTATGGTGCTGCAATTGCTATGATTTTTGGTTTTCTTAAACATTTTTTGTAGAAACATTATTTTGAAAAAGTTCAGGTACTCAAGGTGCCAGTACTTTATACCATAAAATTCATTTTTACCGGAATATGTTACGGAATAAAAAAAATCTGATATACCATAATTTTTACAGTAATAATTACCATAGAATCACTGAATCAATCTAATTAAATAAATATTACTGTAAAAATTACAGCATGATATTTGACGGTAAATATGTATTTTATGGTAAAATTTATTTTACGAATGATGCACCGAAAGTGCCGGTACTTCATACTGTAATTTAATTCGGAATTTTTTAGTTTATTTAAATTATAGATCTGAGTATAATTGAAAGTTTATAATATTTTTAAAAAAATGTTAATGAAAACTAAAAGGCATAGCACTACAACATCATAGCTTCAACGGAAAGAAGAATATAATTATGAGGCAATAACTAAATAATTGTTTTAATAGTAAAGAAATAAGGTGAACATACGCGTTTTTCTTTATTTGATAAATTTCAATAGTTAATATATTAATATATCATTTTGCATACATTTCATAATACATAACTTAAATATGTCCCAAATAGTTTAGTTAGGAGAGTGGTCCACAGCTTAGACCCCTTAATCTTAATTTTACTTTATGTGTATTTTACCATATTTGGAGAAGTTTTTGAGGGAATCGAAGTTTTTTGCAAACAATTATATATTCGTTTTTCTAAAAGTAATTCAATGCAAAAAATCAATTTTTAATAATTATTTTTAGTATTTTTTTTAATAATATTTCCAAAAAAATTAAATTGTAAGGTTACAAATTTTTATATCATTTAAAAGAATGTAATTTTATGTGTCAAAATACAAATGCCGGGGTAGCCTGGTTGGTAGGGCACTGGGCCCATGTCCAAGAGTTCGTGGGTTCGATCCCTGCCAGCCGAAGACACCCCGTGTAGTAAATGGTGACTGATGTACGTTAAATCTGTTGAGTCGCAACGTCCTCCGTGTTCCCATAGCAAAATACCTCTGGGGGTACTGATTCAGAAGTGTCCTTGTCTTCTGGATTGGTTCAAAATTACAAGTCTTCGGAGTTTAACATTGGTAATCGTAAACCCAAAATTTGGTCAACTGTTCAACGACGGATATAAAATATTAAGAAAATATCAATTTGTGGAGTTTTTATCAAAAAACGTCAGCAAATTAAATGCCTTAAACGTTAATAAAAATCTGACGAATCACTTACTTACTTTAGAAGACTGGTTTAGAAACCTTAAAGACCAGATTGATTGTACTATGAAATTTAAAAATGGTTTTAATAATCACCTTTCACCTCTTTTCAGTTACTTCTGCTGTTTTAATTTTTTTAATCTCGTCATCCTCGTTAATAATACGTCAAGTTTTGATAACTATTTTTCACATTTCAATATCAATTTGTTATCCCAATTGTGATTATTTTTTTGACTTTTGGCAAAATGCGTTTCAGATTTACATAGGAATATTAGCACTAGATATATGTTGATGTTGAAAATACTATATCTGCATTTTCCCGAAAATTTAACTTCTTAAGAGCCATTTAACATCAAATTAACCACAAGGAGAACAAAAAACTGGTAAAATTACTGCACTGTATAGTGATGACATTTCTGGTTTAAAAAAAGAACAGAATTCTGGTTAAAAAAAGTCAAAATATACAATATTTACCGTTTATTTGGTAATTTTTCCGTTCATATATTAACGCTTTACCAAATAGTATTTTCAAAATTATAGACCTTATTACTACACATTTAGCAAAAAATACGAAGCTGAAACGTAAATTTAAACAAATAAATGGTTTTTATACCATGCTATCATGATAAAATTAGCAAATTTTGTCACATATTAAAAAAACCATATTTTATTGTTAATTTTATCAAAATAAATACCAAAGCGCTTCGTTAAAAATGACCGAGAATTTTGGTGTCCCCATAAAGCCTGAAGCACAGTAAATTTTCCCATATTCTGGTTGTTTTGATCATACTTTTTTTTCTCAGTGTTTTGTTCAAGTGGATTTTGTTTCATGGTTCTACATTTAAAAAATACAAAAAAAAATATCCAACAATGTGCAAAAAATGCTATTTATTTTTAATAATTGCATAAAAAATTATAAATATATAAAATAAATTTATAATTCTTTTGTAATTAATAAAAATACCCCAAAAAAGTTAAATTACGTTCAGCTAATTGGTTTTCTTTAAAGTATTTTATTGCATTTATGAGTATGAGTTTACTTTCTTCTAACAAGGGAAACTAGGGAAGTGTGACTCGCCAATTTTGAAATAAACTTGTGGGATGTATGCCTTATGAGNAAATAAATTTATAATTCTTTCGTAATTAATAAAAATACCCCAAAAAAGTTAAATTACGTTCAGCTAATTGGTTTTCTTTAAAGTATTTTATTGCATTTATGAGTATGAGTTTACTTTCTTCTAAGCTAGATATTTCTGAGACAGAAATCGCCTTTTTTGAATTTATTTAAAGCTCTGATCTCAGAAGGAGATTCATATGATGATATTTCATCATATATTATTATTAACATAATTTATGGTATATAAATCCATGAATTCCTATTCATAAAGGTATGCGTGTTACTCTTAAGTATACTATTGTGTTAGTTTTTACAACATTACGATTAATTTTTAATGTTAAAGAATATAATTTTAATTATTAACTAATATAACAGATTTGAAGGTGTATTACCGAGGAAAAAAATTTACTTTCTTTTCAACTAGAATATTTTTTTTTAAAATCAATGTTCTGGAAAAGCATATTTTTAGAATTTATTTTATGAATTCTTCCACCCAATACGTAACATCCTTTTTTCATCGAGACAGAGGAAACTAAATTTCCTTTTGCGTAGATTTCAATTGAAGGTTAAGGTTACTTATTAGGCTTTTACGGATATTGGTTAGAAATATTTCCTTCAAATATTTAAATAGATATGCCTCGCACATACGTAAGTAAAATTTTATCTAGTTATTAAAAATATATTAAATAAATACAAATTGATCAGACAATTAATTGCGATTGTTTAAAAATGTTAAAATAACATTTAAAATAAGTGAAATGCTTATTTTAAGCATGTTATACTATAACACAAATGTAAGATATCCTATCCACTAAAGCTTTGACACAGATGGGTAACCTGTGTCCCTTTTATATATTTAATTCCAACTCTTTGATTTTAAGCAAAACTATATTTTATTTTAGTATTTTTAAATTATTAAAAAAAAACAAAAAAAAACGGTCTAATCGTTATTAAAAAAATCTGTTAGATTATCAGAATTATATTTGTACTGAAATATATAATCCACAAAAAGTAGATATAATTTTTTTTCATTCATATTCAAAAATTTATTTTGTAAATTAAAGAAATTTTAATGATGAATAACTGTTTTCTTACATCTATATGACTGCAAATTAGTTCAAATTTGAAAATGATTGTTAATTCCTCAAGTTAATTTGTGGAAAGGCAATAACTATCGAGCTTGGATTTCTAAAATAAACCAGTTCAAAAGTTATTTTAAACTCCACTTCAAAAACCGAAAGGAAATAGGTATTTGCCTTTGTTAAGAATAGTACCCTGTTCTAATTATAATGTAAAAATGAGTGTTGTTCCTCTTTATATCGTTATCTATATCATTAGAAACAATTTTGAGACAGACATTATACAGAAATTATGTCTGATTAATAGTTTTAATTGCCAAAGTCCACTGCTTGCATCTCCATGTTTTATGGATAGACCAAATTTCAGTGCATTTCTCTGAAAAAGCCACGGTGATAAAATTTATCAATAGACAAAAATCAGAAACTGAATAATTTTCAACGTAGTTTCAATTTGCGTTGTTTCAATAGACGCTACATACAAATTAGACATCGATGGATGTCTCAATATTAATTTGAAACATCTAAAAGTTTCTAAATCCACAGATATTTTTTTCTTCTTACTTCCATATATCTCTTTCATTAATTCAAATGGCCCGACATTTTAACCTCTTCCAGTTAAGACAAATTTGGTCTGTAAAATATTGCAGGAGCAATTAGATTTCAAATTCTGTTATTCGTTACTTAACATTTTGCCGTTCTTCATTTAAGATTTATGTAGTATTTACTTCATGTTGAAGGATCCTGTAATATTTTTTATGAATTAAATTCCCTTCTATTTGACCATCATAAAAGCATTGGACACAAATTTACCTCAGCAACTGTAATACTTTAAGAGCATTTTTAAGATAGATTAATTAAGAGAATTTTTTTTCTCGAAAAAAATCGTTTCTTTGAAGGAGATTTAAAGTATTTAAACTTTTTTAGTTCTCTTTTTTTCTTTTCTTTTTCTGAAAACTT